ACGACAGAGTGTCGAGATTTGGCGATTTCGCACCAATTTGGAAATTCTTCTTGAATATTTGGGCGTAAAAATTTAGGAAATCGCCACTGGCGATTTTTGGCGATTTTTTCCCTTCAAATATAGTTTTTTCCTATTATAAAAATATACAAAACTTAGTTTTTCACGATAATTTTACAGAAGAGGCTAATAAACTGCGTGATAAACTTGACTTAAGAAGCATATTAAAAGACTGTCAAAAATGTTTAATCACCCTTATCAAAAAACTTTTGAAACGATTACCTAGTCATTTAAATACTTTTAAAAAAGCTTTGATTTTGTTTCCAGAAAAGTGTGTGAATCACAAGAGGACAAGTTTCAGGGACCTGTTAATTCACTATTTTATTTTGAAGGAAATAAAAGCAGTTTAAATCTTTTAACTTTCCCATGGAATAACTTTTCTTAAAACCATTCCATCCGATTTTGAATAATTTTGGATAATTGCTTACGGAGTGAAAACCGCAACAGGCAATAAAATGTTTGGAAATATAAGTAAATTCATATTATTATCCTTTATTAGGCTTTTGTTGAGCGCGTTTTTTTGAATGATTAATGAATTCAACAAAAACTAAGATTCGAAATAGGATGAGGTTGAAAAGCCTTAACTCAATAGTTCGAATAAAGTGTTATATGAAGGCTAATAGTTTCTGCTGCAAAACGTTTCCCATATCAAACAGTATGTCATCACGGTTGAATAGCTCAATATATGACAACAACAGAAATGTAAATGATTCAGACGCTATAGGTGATTTTGAAGAAATTGTGGAAATAGCTGATCTCGGCTCATTATAGGTTTTTATTTAATTTTTAGCGCCGAGCTCTTAAAAGCGGATTGTGCGATTAATCAATTAATATGAGTTATAATAAATTTAGTAATTTCGCAGTCCTATTGCAAAATGTGATGAAACAAATATTTTTAAAAAGTATGCGTATTTTTAAAGATTTTTTTTTTGTACATCACTATTATATAAGTGATTTTTGTTATTTATTGTTACCCTCTGAAGGTGTTACATTCGTTTTTGGTTTTAAAAACTATATTATAACAAGATTTCATTTTTAAAATAAAAGATTTGTTAAATCGATTTACGGCTGCATTTGAATTCATGTATGTATTCATAGTCAGCTGTTGAAGCAACGCCAACGCCAACGCAACGCCAAAGTTATATGTGGACGGGCCTTAAGGTTGCAAACAGAGTGGAAGCGAAGCCGAAGACGAAGATGTAGACGAAGCCGAAGACGAATTGCTTGCGTTGCGGGCAAGCTGGCGAGTGTACATAGTGGAAGATGAATGATATGAAGATTTGTTTCTAAATAAAACCATTTTTTTAGATAAAATCAAAAGAAAATAAAGAAAAAACAGCAATTCATGAAATAATTTGTATAGGACAACTTTTGGAGAATTTCGCCACTTGTATTATGTGTTACGGCAAGACGGACAGACATTTTTCAAATATACAAGAATGCCAATTAATACGTTTGATTACATTTTGCCAAAAATTTAGCCAATTTCTTGAAAAACGCGTTTTTTCACAATTGCAAACATTTAAATAAATTGTAAACAATTCATCACAGCAAGCGATTCGTCTTTGAAAACAGTACCGCACTGTTTCAAGCTGACCGCTTGCGCAACGTCTTCATCTTCGTCTTCGTCTTTGCTTGCACTGTGATCACTTTCATATGTTTACTACTGCACTGTTTTTCGTCTTCGGTTTCGTCTTCATCTTCGTCTTCGGCTTCGCTTCCACTCTGTTTGCAACCTAAGTGTTCCATAACGTAACAATTTACTTTGCACATTTTTGCCTTGTATTTTATTTTAACTAAGCATAGCTACGTTGTGTACACACCGCAGTAAAACTGTATACATACATTTTGGAAGTCAGTTTGGCGCCCATTTCCGCGTATGTAGTGCATGTTTTTAGGCGCAATATTTAACTACTTCCGGCAAGGCGTACCGACGAGGATGATGGCTACACTTTTGTATAGGAACTTTGATTATAATCTATAATTATAGCTAAAAATGGTCTGGACACACAACATTGCAAGTTGACAAAAGCGTTGTAAAATAGAGAAAATAGTGAAAACTAAATCGATAAAAATCGATCTATGATTACCTGTGGTATCGTCTTCGCTAAAATTACCCTAAGGTACTTTTTTTAAGCTATTTATGAAATATATTTTAATAAGAAATACATTTCATGACAAACCAAATCCATCCAAAACCATTATCGCTGGAAGATAGTTCCGGAGAAACCTCATTGTTTTTTGACATACCTACATATGTAACACCGAAATACGTATTTCTTTGTTTTTCTTTTACATTAGTAATATATGTACGTATGTGTGAGAGTATTGTATCTTTTATAGACTAATAAAAGACTTAAAAACTAAAATATTTTATTACATGCATACTAGGGCGGGGCATTTTATTATGCGCGTATAGCATAGGAGATTGTACGCGTAATTCTAACCAAATTCGCTGAAGAAACCATGGGTCTAAAATCTATTTGTAGCTTGCATAGTTGCGAGAATAGGTTTCGAAGAAAATGTCAAAATTTTTATTGTTGGGCCCTCCGGTGGAAGTTTTCAGAAAAAGATACGTGCAGAAATGGACTCCTCATACCAAGAAACCCCCTTATAGCATATTTTTATACGAAATTAAAGCTCTACTTTACGACACTAAGCAAAATGCTAAGAAACTTATGTTCGCAATTTGGCAAACTCCAAATTGATTTTAGGCTCATGGTTTCTTCGGCAAATTTTCTTAGAATTACACATATAATCCTTCTCTGCTATACACGTATAGTCAAAAAAATCTCCCATACAAATTGACCCGCCCTAACGCATACATAAATATGTATATGTAAATCTACCACATTGTTTTGGAATTTGCCATCATTTTTAAGGCTTATCTACCACTAAAAAAAAATTTACAGTCCGCACACTGGTATCCGCAGCAATGTCAGCAGTCGATCTCTGCTGTACCTGAAATTGACTCCGACTTTTCCACTCTCTCCTTCAATGCCGAAATGTGCGTAGATGATTCAGCTGCAGCAGCAGCGAGTGACGAAATCTTCTCCTCAATCCGTTTTGTGAGTTTGTTCTCCACTTCTGTAATTTTTCTCTAGCTCGTTCGACTTATTGTATACAACTGTGAGTGTGATAACTGCACCTTCATCAAATTTAGCTGTATTTGCAGAGGGGAAGCCTTTGCTCAGTCAGTGGAGCAGGAGCAGTGACCGACATAACAAACGAGCGGCAAAACAAACAAACGAATTGGAATCGATTAAACTTATATAGCGCAAGAAAATTTTATTGATTATTGTTACGCGCCGTACTTGAAATAGCGAATGAATATCGTATTATTCGCATGCAATTAAAGTAATCAAGCTTAGTTTTGTTTTATTTTATTTGCAAAAATTATAATCCGCACAAATACGCCAAAAATGCGGGAGCAAATTAAAAACACGACCGTTCTCTTGAATTTTCTTAATCTCCAACTAAATTTAGTTGGTTGTAAATACAAAAAAAAAAAACATATGCAGAAACAACATGCATTTATTGTAAAATATACTAAAATATGCGCTATAAATATGCAAAAATCGGTATTTTTTGCAAAACCGTGTATTTAGTGCAAAACGATGCACTAACGATTGAATGCTATTTATAGGAAATGATTCGTAAAGATAACTTAACCATTACGATTTAAATATGCCCAATGAAAACATGCATTTTCATGAGATTCCGAACCCTGCTTATGTATTAAAAAATACAAAATAAACAATACATTTAAATAAAATAAAACATTTGTACTTCATTTTCAAAAGTGTTCCGTCTTCTTTGTATTTATTGATATTGGGAATCGTTTAATAGCTCCGAAAAATTGTAATAATCGCAATGGCTAATTAACTGCTCATTCTCACAGCTGCATGCAGTCCGACATAACTGGCAAGAACTCCAGCCAACAGTTCAGGCAATGAAATTGATGACCTGGGTTCGAAGGTAAACGGTTTCCTCTCTGAACTTTCTAGCTTGTGTACTGAAAGGAGCTTCACCGTCTCCTCTAGGAAATCGTCGGCAAGGCTTTCACCACCTGGACGAAAGAAGTCCCTCTACATCTGGGTGTTCACACTGATGGCGAACAAATTCTCGACTGTGAACAACCGGAAAATACACGGTGCTACCTTCGGCAGTGTGCTCTCTTTCTCGGCGCACACAACCGCAAGTGACAAATAAACGTTGTTGGTAGCATAAAAGGCAATTGGCGGGCCGCAGGTTTATAAAACCACCACTGTACCCGAAAGCCTACAGACAAGCCATAAACAGCATTCACAGGGAGTCGGTCTCAATCTACACCAACTCCCGACCGGTGACTGCCGTTTTAGGGGCACAGTTAACCGACGAGCACGAAACGTCATGCAATGACTAGGCACAACTCGTCGCATGCCCGCGAAATTCAACTAAAGCTTTCTCCCTCTGGTTCAACGCAATTGGGGTAGCGCACATCGTGGGAATCCCGTTAGTTGATCAGGGTTAAATAAGCCGCTAAAAAAAAATACAAGCTAGCACTACATACCATTGTTTTTTTTTCAATCACAGCTAAAATAAAATAACATAAAAGCTTAAACTCATGGCGTATTTAACCTTTCCAATTTCGAAAAGTGTAGTGCTAACTTTGCGCTGACCTGGTTACAAGTCTATAACTAACAACTACGACGCTGCAGCAGCTATTCAAAAAATAAATTAATGCTTATCTCTTCTTGAATATATTTCCTTAATCTTTTTGCAGATACTCACTAATTTTTAAACCAGTATATTTTCACCAGTAAAAATAAAATGCACGTGCATAGGAAATAAACAAGTTAGACCCCTATTTTAGCTCTTTTTTAATTTGTCTTAGATATTATACTTCCTTATCCTAGCAACACTTTACAGGTTCGGCTTAAGCAATATATATTTCGACTTACCTGTCTACAGTTTGTAATTTTTGGTGAATACGACTTATCGTTGGTTAAATTTAAGCCAATATTATTGTGACTTCGAGGTGTATCGTAGAATTTTGGATCCAAATTATTCAATGGCGTGGTAGGATTTTCATACTGAAAAGATAATGCAAACAAAATAGAATATTATTAACATAATGCGCTGTCAACATTTTAGAAAATACGAGACAAAGCCCAATTCCTCAAAATCTAGAACGCTATTCCAACAAGAATTTATCTGAAAATAAGTTTTCTATAGAGGCATTTCATGTCATCGCGGCCACCTCTGTGCGCGACCTCTATGGATTTGGATGAAAGTTGAAGGTCTAGGTCAGAGCTTCCTAATGTGGGTTCCGTAGAAAAGTCACCGCGGTTCCGCGAAATTAATTTTGGTATGAATAAGCATGGCGGTTGGTTTGAGTTGCACAGAGAAAGAAAAGTTCCATAAACAGCTTGACCGAGACCATGGGCGTACGCAGGTACTATTAACTCTTCAATAAGTTCATAATAAACTTTATGCAAACTAAATTCCTCTGTAGGGCTCAATTTTTACAATAACAAGTAATTTTTAAGCAAAAAACACAACCGACTTCAATTCTCATATAAAAATTTAGAAGTACCGTTAGTTTCTTTATGATCCAATAATCGGTTCTAAACCAAATTAGTATGGGACCTCCCCTGAATCACCAGAAAAAGAATTATCGAAATCGGTTAACGTGGTCCAAAGTTATGCGGTAAAGCAGTGTTTGCATTATTCAACTTTGCGTTCAACAATTGCGTTCAACTCAACGCAGGGTTGCACTAAAAAAAAGTTGAATGGCTAAATGTTGGCTGGCGACCAACTTTGTTAAAAGCGATTAGTTGAAAGGCCATTCAACCAAAAGTTTAATGCAAAGTTGAACAATGCAAACACCTTTTTATGGCGAATATTTTGATATTTTTTCATATTTTGATATTTTTAGCCATTCAACTTTTTTTCGTGCAACCCTGCGCTGAGTTGAACGCAAATGTTGAACGCAAAGTTGAACAATGCAAACACACTTTAACATACATAAAAAAATATTCCGATGAATTGATAACCTCCTCCTTTTTTTGAATTCGGCTAAAAAGATAAAAACTAATAAGGTAAATTATTTAACATTTTTAATAGCTATCTTTTAACATTTCTAATAAAATTTATATTTAAAAATATCTCATCCCCCCATGCGTACGCCCATGACCGAGACGTAATAATCTATTTTCTAGTATGTACTCGTAGTTGGTATGATTGCCGTACTGAGTGCCATACCTACTAGACCTCTGCATGAGTTGATTCAAACTTCCAGTTAAACAGAGCACAGGGAGGTTCCATGGGAAAGTGAACCTTAGTGCAAAAATTATTTTCTTTATAAAACTAACAAACGTGTGGATAAGACATTTGTAAAAATCTTGAATCAACCAAAAAATAACAAATTAAAGCTTTAAATCTAGGGTGGCCATTTCATAGGCACGCGTGCCAAAATTTTTCTCTTCTGCTTTCACACGTACACGAGAAAAACTGCGCTGCTTTCACACATACTACATGAGCATACTCTATGAATCAATGATGCCGACAATTATGGTTTTGCTGTGATCGTGCTCAATTGATGCGAAACTTTCAAGCAATCAACTCGCTGCAAGACACGGCAAAAATGTTTAATATGGAATCGGATGTAGCTTTTTTACTCACTAATAATGGGGAGGGAGGGCACAATGTTCGGTGTGTCATGAAGAAATCGCACGGACGGCAAACTTTTTTTTTCAGCGCCATTATAGCGCCATTACCCCTTATTCCCAAATATTGAATTAATAAATTATTACGTACATATGTACACAAATAAAAAGTGAACTTAAAATAATGCTAAAAAATTCCCTTTCTTTTAATTCTAATTCTATTTGCTTTAATTTTAATTTTAACTATAATAAAAAATCTAAGCAAGCAATGCAAGTAAATTAAATTATATTAAAAGGTTAATTCTTTAATATTATATCTCCCTTTCACACTATTTACAAAATAAAAAAAAAACCTTTTTCATAATTTGCAACTCGAAATCGTTGACAACACTGTTTGCATCAGACGCGTGAGCCACTTAGTCTCTTCATTCTCTCATCGTTTAGCAAAATTTCAATATATATGATTTTGTGAGTTTTGGCCACCTCTGCTTTAAATGCATTTTTACAACCCATTTATCAACTTGCAATGTTGTATGTCCAGACCACCATTTTATACTATAAATATAGCAAAGGGATTCATGGCAAACCTAGTCTAGATATCAATCTCGTCGTAGGTACCATATCAAAGACATACAATTAGAAAAACTCTAGAGATAGATGTCGCCTCGCCACAAGAAGTTAAAAATATGCACTACAGACGCTACAGCGGAAATGGACGACACGCCATTTCTTTAAATGAAATTAATTGCTGCTATATGTATGTATGTACATATGTAGGCATATACTAAATGTGAGCAAACAACATTTTGCTTGCATAGTCTTCTGTTCTCTTTTCACTGCAACTTGAATTGTTTTAGTAGCTATTGCAAACTGTTATACAGACGAGACAAAAAAGTATAAAATAAATTTGAAAAAAACTTTTTAATGTACCACGCTTTTATAAATGGACTAAAACTAGAAAATATTTCTCAGTCCCATAGAACTTTGTTTTGATAACTTTCGATTTTGAAATTTTAGCAAAAGTCATTATAAACAATTTATGAGATTGAAAATGAAAAGCGTGGGGCGCATGTAATAGGCCTGATTTGAAATTGATGAGTAATATATAATGTATGTGGGTATATTAGTAACGACCGCTTAAAATCGATCTCAAATTTGTACTTTGCTTTAGATTGCATGCGGTCCACGTTTTTCGTTTTCAATCTCATAAATTGTTTATAATGACTTTTGCAAAAATAGTTATTCAAAAAATCATAATCTACAAAATCGTATTTTCTGACTTAAATCGACAGGTCGCGACCTCTAAATGACCTTTAAAAAATCTATAAAAAAGGCAATCATATTTCTCATAAATACGAATAAAATTAGGTGGTTGGGGCTTTAAATTTCCAAAAACAAAAAGCATTTTCGATGGGCACCCTAATGTATATACTATATAGACTTTCTTCTGTTCGCCCACCCGTCAGCGGCAGACACCCAATATTTAAATTCAGGTAGGAAGTAACGTAGTTTAATTTTAAAACTAACTCAATGAATGAATTAAATAAAATTATAATCTGATTGCATGATAAGATTAGTAGCCTCGTGGCTCTTTGGAATCTACCTTATGGGCAGTAGCGCAGGCGTTTCCAGACGCGTCGGCGTCGCCGCCGATTCTTTTTGAAGTTGACCACGCCGCCGCCGCAAAGCCTGTCGGCGTAAACCTCTAATGTGTACACACATATACGTACGTACTACTACATCAATATCACAGATGGAAATAAAATAAAATAAAATAACATAGTAGGCTAAAGTATATAAATCGTTAAATAAAAATAGAAATAAAAATAAATAATAAGTAATAAACATAAATAAATAAACAAAATATCACAGAATTTATATAGTCAAATAGTAAAATAAATAAATAAACTAAAAAATAAATAAATTTAAAAATAATTACCATAATCTATCTATTTATTACCATGTTCTGACCGACAACGAAAACACCTTGAAAACGAGTTTTGGGATTGTGGGCTTAAGGCTGTTCACACCGACTGTTGGTGTTTTCGTTGACATTTCTTACATCCTTTGTTTACAGTTTTGCTGCACAAATACAAAACCAAAATACTTTTCCTTCAATTTCTTTTCATTAACAACCTTTTACTTAATAATAATAGATTCGCGCTTACACATATGTTAGTGTTTGGCCGAGCTTCTCCTCCAACTTCCAACCTCCAACGGAGGGACCTACAGTTTTACGCCGACTTCGAACGGCGATTGTATTTTTATGAGAAGCTGTTTTTCATGGCAGAAATACACTCGGAGGTTTGCCATTGCCTGCCGAGGGACGACCGCTGTTAAGAAAAAACCTTTTTTCTATATTTTTTCGATGTTGCTTTGACCAGGGTTTGAACCCAGGCATTGTGGAGTGGAAGCGCGCACTGCTTACCACTACACCACNGGGCTTGAACCCAGGTGCTGGTGAGTGAAAGCGCGCACTGCTTACCACTACACCACAGCGGCCAACCTTTTACTTCCATGCTTATTTTATTTTGGTCAGTAAGGATGATAAAATATGACTTCCACTTCGATAAATAATCGAAAAAAACTAGTGCAGACACCGATTGGAATGAGTGGAACGTGAGTTTTCAAGTGGTTTTCAGCGAAAACTTGTTTTTGTTTGACAGATTTTACATTGACGAAAACACAAGTTTTAGGTCGAAAACCAGTTTTAGCAACGAAATCATGTTTTCGATGTCGGTCAGAACATAGTGTATATAAAAATGAAATGTTTTCCGTATGACGGCGATGCCTGACCAAACGGCTGAACCGATTTCGATTCTGTAAAAAGCACATTTTTGGACCTTCTGTGTGGAAGGTTCTTTGATTTAAAAAATTTGAAATTTTTTGTTGTTGCCGAAAAGTGAAGAAAGCTGAGACGTCACGATTTCACAATTTCATAGAGTTTTCCGTATATTGAATGTCACTAAACTACTAAACGGCTGGACCGATTTCGTTCATATTTGGAACATATTTCAGCACCTTGAAGGGAAATTTTTCAAGATGCATTTGAGTTGTGCAACCCCTTGGGATCATCAAAAAAAAGGCACAAACTGATTGGATTTTATTTTATGATAGGAAATATTGNAAGATGCATTTGAGTTGTGCAACCCCTTGGGATCATCAAAAAAAAGGCACAAACTGATTGGATTTTATTTTATGATAGGAAATATTGATGTGAAGTATAGGTCTGTGGTACAAAACATTCAACCAATTTTATTATGCAACGAAATCTATATAAAAAAATTCGGCTTCGAAATTATTTTAAAACCATTACTTAGTGACCTGAAAATATTGGAGACAGGTCTAAATTTTCTGAATAAAAAAAACCGGCATGCAAGAACACCTATTTGGAACTGTGTTTGCAGTAATTGGCGGCAATTTAG